AAATATAGAGGTATGATTGGATCTCTCTTATATTTATCTGCAAGTAGACCTGATATTATGTTCAGTGTTTGTTTATGTGCTAGATACCAATCTAACCCTAAAGAATCTCATTTGAGTGCTGTTAAAAGAATTATGAGATATCTGTTAGGAACCCAAAATCTAGGTCTATGGTATCCTAAAAACATGCCTTTCAATCTAGTAGGTTACTCCGATTCTGATTTTGCTGGGTGTAAAACTGATAGAAAGAGTACTAGTGGAACATGCCATTTTATTGGATCAGCTTTAGTATCATGGCATAGTAAAAAGCAAAATAGTGTTGCTTTATCTACTGCTGAAGCAGAATATATTGCTGCTGGAAGTTGTTGTGCACAAATACTATGGATGAAACAACAACTATCTGATTATGGTTTATCATTAGATCATATTCCGATTAAGTGTGATAATACTAGTGCTATCAATCTCTCTAAAAATCCAGTTCTTCATTCTAGAACAAAGCATATTGAGATAAGACATCATTTTCTTAGGGATCATGTTCAAAAAGGAGATTGTGTTCTAGAATTTGTTGAAACAAAGAATCAATTAGTAGATATATTCACAAAGCCCTTACCAAAAGAAAACTTCTTTTCAATTAGACAAGAATTGGGGATTCTAGACTCTTCCCACATTATTTTTTGACTCTTCTAGCAAATTTTTGGAAATTTTAAGAATTGTAATCGATTACGTATTCAAGTAATCGATTACCAGAGCGTATTTGTTTGTTCTGGCATAAATGTAATCGATTACAAAGTTTGTGTAATCGATTACCAGTGGGTGCTTTACTTATCTGGGTACGTGTAATCGATTACCACGTAATGTAATCGATTACAAGTGGCAAAATGCACAGAATCTGAAAAGGAGTAATCGATTACCGTATTCATGTAATCGATTACACGACTCATCTGCACTTAAAAGAGTGCAGTTCGTCTTCTTCCTCACTAAATAACCTCCATAGCCTCCGCGCCCTAACCTCTACAAATTACCATAACTTCCTCAAATCTCAACGAAATCAAGTCCCGTTTGTTCCATTCTTCATCATTTTCAATTCCCTTCATTTCTACTGATTTTATTTTTCAAAACAATCACTCAAATGGCAGAATCATCAAAATGTCGTAAGGGTTCTTCACGTTCAACCACCGCTGGCCGCCATCAACAACCTCCCTCTGACGACACCCCTGCTCGTGCGAATCCAATTCCATATACTGGACGTGCTCTTTCTCTGATCTCCACTGACGAACAACGAGATAGGTACTACCAGTTATTTTCTGAGCGAAATATTGTTGATCCCAAGTATATCAGTATTGATTTTTTTGACGGTGAATCATTTGAGTGTTATACCATTTTTAAAAATTCTGGGTTGTTGGATTTTATGTCAATGACGAACCCTGTTTATCCAGAATTAGTTAGGGTCTTTTACAGCAATTCGGAAATCAGGAATGGAGTTCTTTACACTGAGGTTAAAAAAATTCCAATAGTGATAAATCAGTCTCTATTTGGAGATTTATCAAAATTAAAAGATCAAGGTACTCTGTTTGAGGGAACGATTCCGGATACATGGAAACCAGAATATTATTGGCTGGCTCAATGAAATTTGATTATAGAATCATGCATTACATAATTATTCGGGTACTGCTTCCCCGCCCGACTAACCTTGCACAGGCTTCAGAGGAGGACTTAATTTTGATATGGGCTCTAATCACTGGCCTGGAATTTAGCTGGGCTCATCTAATTAGAAGTCGAATGAAGAAGGCCTTGCGGGTTAATGCTTCTCTTCTATACCTGCATCTATACAGGTATTTCCACAATAAATAAATATATAAATGTGTTGCTGACCTGAGCCCACCACATCAAAAAGGTAATGGGACGCATGTTTGAGCGCTCCAATGTTCTCCGCAGAGGAGGAAGGAAAAATAGTATTGCAGCCACTATGTTTGGTAACATATATAATACAACAACATAGGTGTAAAGTGACTGGTTGCCCCAATCGCCAGCCCAACTGGTAACAAATTTTATAAGCCCTGATGGATTCTGTAGAGAACTGGAAAAACAGACTGGCAAAACAACAACCCAAACAGCTGCTACCACAAATTTCAGAAAATATCGAAGCAACTGAGTGAATTTCATATTCTTCAATGCATTCCATGTGAGAATAATATCAAGAGTTACTGCAAATAGAATATATGAGAAAAAGTTAATAAATGATAAACAGCAATTGCTATTGAAACTACATAAAGAATAAAGCTACCTTCATCTTTAAGAAAAAGAAAAATACTACCACTGCGGTTCTTTATATAAGAAACAAATAACTAATTTATAAAGATTAAAGACCAATGAAGATAGTTAAGTTAGTTAATTTTAATGAACCTAAAAAATTTGTTTTATTCCACAAATACCCTTGAATTAAATGGCTTATTTCGTTAATAGGTCAATGAATGCATTCACTTGCATGAGAAATGGGTTCGAGTCTCATTAAATAGACTTGACAATAAAATAAAATTAGCAATTAATACAATAAAATAAAATAAAATTAGCAATTAACACATCTCAAAATGAATTTATGTTTCTTATAATTAGGACCAAAACAATACACCTATTTGTTTCTTGTATCAAGGACCAAAGGTAGTATTTTCTATTTTGTTTAACAAAGAACTGAACAACTTCCAACAGAAATGAGTAGTTCTTTTGGCAAATCTTTCCATTTTGAACTCTGGATTTGTATGTCAACAAAAATAGTTAAGTCAACAGAGGTTTACATATATAGCGATGGGGACAAAAAGAACTGAGGTTGACAGGGAGCTAGCAGAGCCATTACAGTTAGCATGGACATATGCAGATTTAGGGTGCCTAAAGTTTCTTGGAAAGCAAGAAATTAACCCCAGTTCCTATATATATCACCTATTCCTTCCAAATAAACCATAATATAGGAATCAAGTACCTTGAAGAAAATTGAGAAAAGCATATGTAATGAATATAGTTGTAACATTTCTGAAGACATCTGCATCAAAAAACACTCCAACAGGTCCCAAGGAACTCCATGCTATGATAATCATTGCCTGAAACAAATACTTGCATATTTGAAATAAAATTTGCATGGTGAAGTTTCAAGTCTTAACCATAGCTCTACACATTCTGTTAAAGTCAACATAAAGAACATTCCACAGATCCAACTACTACAATTACCTGTAAAGCCAATATAAAGAATATCCACATTCGATCAAAACTCCTATACAGATGCAAAAACGTACGAACTTCAACAAAATTTGTTTTTGGCTTCCTCTTACCAACTCCGGTGCTTGCTTGGCTACGGCCCTGTCATTGGCATTTGTACTTCAATAAAGGTCTCTTTAAATGTAATGTAAGGAAGGAAAATACAAGTAGACTGTAAATATGCCCATTGGACCTTTAAGAGAAAGGGGAAAAAAAAAAAAGAACGAGAAGACAATAATAAATACACAAAACAAACAGCTATCCATTAAAGACCATTTCAGCCTGAGCAATAGAACTAAAATTCTGTTATATACATACATGGCACATGTCTCTAATTCAATAGAGGTCATCCATGTCCTATCCAATCAAATAAACCATATTAAAGTATGGAGTCATTCTAAAATACCAACTCCATTATTCTTATACTTTTATCGATACTCTAACTAGAAGTGAGAACCCACAGTTCCTGGCAACTTTTCTTTCTTTTTCATTTCAGACAAAAGAAGACAATCTATTAGCAAAAGAGAGATAAAAGTATAAAACTTTGGAGAATAAGAAATCCTCAACAGAGACAATACAAAAGGAGAAAAACACAGACAAAAAATAAAAGAAACTCTCATAACTAATCAGTGTAATTGCATATCAAACACAAATACCCTTTAAAGTTCATGTGCTGAACATCAATGTGAAATCATGAAAGTAATTCTATCCCTTAACAAACTCAGGTAAGGAAAGACCCTTTACATTTCTAAGGCACTTTCATGATTTTTTTTTTTTGATAAAACAAATTGCCATGAAATGATTTTCATTTAAATGTTTATTTTGGTCAATTTAGAGACAATTGATTGTTATATGAATCATTTTTTTTTAAATATCTCCATCACTGCAATGATACTGATATTCTTCTATTTGGATTTTCTGCACAAGGAACTCTTTGGAACTTGAAAGTATAAAAGCATTCAAATGCCTCCACCTTGCAACTTAGCTTTTAGGAGATGGTCCTTGAAATCTCTAATAAAATTTCAAAAATCATTTACCCAAAAATTGTATCCTAATCCAAATTTCTGGTGCAGGGATCATTCATACGGGTTCCATAAGAATTGGCACTCCACATTTGTAGTTACAGGATTATTCTTGCTATAGCTTTTGTTTCAATATATCTTTAAAAAAATTATGGCATCATTTGATATATGTACCCAACCCCTGCTAGTGGAAAAAGACTTAATCGTCTTTCATATATCTTACGGATGAAATAGTATGTCAATAAAATCATTCTTCGATAAAAAAAATAGTATTATTTGGCACATTGGTGTAGAGTAGAGTATAAAATAAATGGCATTAACATGTGATAAAAATAATTAAAAGAAAAACAATATAAAGTAAATAATATGTTGACATAAGAACAAACCAAATATCCATTTATTCTAACAAACTCTGATACATATGTATTGAGAGAATTCAGCAAATGGAAAATAACACATTCAGACAGAATGAAAAGGAAAAGTGGGAAAATAGATACAGACCGGATGTCCTGTCTGTGTCTCATCTGAATGCCTAAAAAAGTCTGCTTTGGGATTCAATGGCCAGCTTAGATCGTGAAAACATTTGTTAGACCTGAAAAGGCACAGATTTGAGTTTCTTGTTATCCAAATGCAAAAAAAAAAAAAAAAAAAAAAGTTTCAAGAGTTTTCATTATTTGATAACTAAAAGTTTAATAAAACACTTACCAAAAGTATTCATTAAGATCATCATAATTTCTCCAATTAGAATGACTTGCCTTGCCTTTGTTGTTTCTCTTTGCTTCCTTTTTCACCAAATACAGAAACAGGTGTCAAGGAAAACATTAGAAAACATGCAGCAAAACTAATCTGATTATAGTTGCATTATACTGACCTTCATTAAAACTTGATATATTGGACTTATAACTTCCCTCAGAAAATATTCATCATCACGTCCTTCGACTTGCTGTGTGCTCCCAGTCACATGAATGGTATTCTTATCTAAAATCTCATAGACTTTATCACACATCTTTGGGAGAAAAAAAGAGGAGAGAGAGAGTTATTAACATGGTATCTAACTATCTAGACCATGCTTGCTATGTCACTGCTAAAACATGAACTTAAAATTGAAAATGTGTGTAACAGTCACAACCAATGCTACTAGAATTAGAAAGAATGATGCCAAAACTAGGTTTGCCATTGGGTGGAAACATGAAACATGTTCAGAATAGGTCTTATATTGATTTGACTTTTTCTTTGTAAGTCGTTTGAATGTTGAATCTTATTTATAGATATGCTATTAATTATTTGTGTTTGAGCACTAGGATATGCCTTAATCAAATTATGTTGAAGGTAAACATTCTTACAAATTTATGACTTGTTTTCACTTCCCATCCACAGGTCTACTTAAACCCTAATGCTTGAAAATATTTTACAGTTAATTCTCACGTTATATGTAGTGCTCTTAAAATTAACTGGAAAAATGTCTCCTTCCCACAAACTTTTATTTGTGATAAACATGCAACTTGTGACATTTCATTTGTGATTTTCACATCAGGTATTTTTAGGTTTAGGTATTTCATGAGAGGGAAGTGATTCCCTGCGCAAATCATTTTCCTTTCAAAAAACATATTCAGCTAAAATGTTAATATAATACTTTAGAAATGCTGTAAATGATTGATACAGACTGTGGTGCAAACCTAGTTAGGATCACTTTCTGTATATTGATGCAATAGCATTTCTATCTTTTATAAAAATAAAAAAATTAAAAAAAAGAGGAAAAGTAAATCTTGTGGGGTGTATAGAAGGTTTGCCTAATTAGAATGAGTTTGGTAAATAACTAGAACGATATTATTTGTTTAATCTGAAAATAGCATCTACTTTGCTCTATTCATGAAATATCTTCTGCATAATTTCAGTATTTCATTCTCCCAAAGAATGACACAAGAGATTAAAGATGTCGATGAGAAAATAGTTAAATATAGAAGCTATAACATATGTAATGTCGTTGATGGAGGTGCAAGTGATGATATAATATAATTTAAAAGAGGTATCACAAGAAACATTTTGTTTATCATAATGAAGCATAAGTTGGTTATAAGTAGTAGAGCACAAGATTGAGATGATTTACTCACAGCACAGGTAAAACAGAAAAATAATGCTATGTCATCAATAATGTTCAACAGACAGTAATAGAGAACTTACACGATGGAAAATGTAGCAAATACATTCAGGCATGAAGCGAATATTTGAAGCTTCTCCCCATATTAGAAGATAAAGTGCAATATAAATCAGCTCCATCTGTTGCATGTCATAATCATCTAGAAACCTATAAAGGGTTAAAAAAATTCATACACCAAAATGAACCAAATAGCTCTTGTTAGTATATAAACATTATATGAAGCACAATTTAGAGTATGCTTGGACACAATGGTTTGGAGAGAAAGGGAAGGGAGGGTTAATTTTATGGTTTTGAATTGAGTTATAAAACATTTATAAAGAAGAATAAGGGATGATGGAAAAGGTTACATGGAAATATTTCATTCTTTTTCCTTTCATTTAGAAAAATGTTCAAAAATAAAATGTTAATTCAAATTGAAAACTTAACCCTCCCTTCCCTTTCCAACTCCTCAATCCAAACATACTCTTAAGGTGAAAATCCTTGAGTTTTATTATCTCACAATAAAACATTTAATTACCTAAGATTGGAATCACAACGCACATAATGACACCATGACTCATAATTTTTGAAAATTGTAGCCTTCAACTTTAGTACAGTTTCTTCATGGAGCTGCCACAAGATTCTTGTTAGCTTTTAATATAAGTGGGAGTGTAATCACAGTGTTGAAATTTAGCATCACAATAAACATGAAAAAAAAATAACTAGAAAACAAAAGTTTTTTTTTGTAGTAAATAATAGTTCACCTGATAAGATGATACATCCCTGTTCCTTATATTCAAGTTGGCAAGCAATAATATAAGGTGCTCCCTTTGATTTGCTACATTTCCTTTCTTCATATCCCAAAACAGAAGGAAACAGTAAATCAGATTATTCCCCAGAAATGGCATGACAATTATACATAGTTGTATTCAACATTGGCTGCTCTGTATCTTTGGTACAAAAGAGATTCAAATTCACTCCTTTGAAACATTTAAGGAGATAAAAATAAATAAAACAAAATTCAATAAATTTCTCTATGTTCTCAACATAACTGTATGTATGCCATACTACTGCTATCAAGATGTCATTAATATTATGAGAAGTAGCAATTTAAGAATAATTTTCTTTATTTTCAGTATCCCATCTCATGTATTTTGACAGGTTTTACTATTTTAAAATAGGAATAAATAATAGAAACAAAATTATGAAAAAGAAGAGTAAGAAATTCTTGTAACAACCTCAATAAATGAAATTATGAAATGTAGAAGTATCAGCTAATAGAACTCTCCAATCCCTTTATAAATTTATTAATAAAAACCCATCAAAGAAGCCAAGCTTTGAAAAGAACAACTGCGAGGAAGCCCCAAAGAAAAAGAACTATATTAAATTGTTCATTTGTCATGTTTGTAGTGAAAAAAACTAATGCCATAAAAGGTTCAAGGAAGATATCTCCTCTGAAAAACACTAGTATTTTGCTTCAGCCACAGACAGACAAACCGACAAATGGTTATGCTTTAAGCATTGCTCCAATCCATTCTCATTATCAGATAACATGCAAAAATCTAGTCAAACATGTTTGCACTTGTTCAGCCTTGAAACAGCACCATTTATAGTCAATAATCATCATCCTGTTGATTCTGGATCAGCCTTATGTTCACACTTGTCCAATCGAGTGCATGTTTGGTAACATCTTTTTGGGAGAAATAGACATCATATTTCAAAAGCTCTCTCAAGAAATTGGTAAAAAACAATATTAGTATTTCTCTAAAATATGCTTAACCAAACATATTAAATAACCTTCAATCCACTTCTTCAGAAATTAACCCCAGGACATTAAAAATTTGATTCCTTTTATCAAAAACTAAATACTTGATTCCAATTTTACTCGGGGCCGGCCCAAGGGCAAGGCTAACAAAGCTCTCGCTTTAAGTCTCTTTCAAAAAAATATTTTAAATTAATATTTATATAATTTTTTTTAAGGTTCAATAACTTAAAAGTCACTTTTTGCATTCTTAAAAATTCACTTTAAAAAGCCTATCTCTAAAAGATATACAAATATAATTATTTTTTTCAAGACGCAACACTAAAATGTTTTTATTTTTATAATCAAAAGATATTATTAATTTTAAAAAGTCTTACTTTAAAATTTGCTTTAGACCTAACATCATGTTGGGCCAGCCCTTGTTCTACTATGAAGTCAACTATCAAAACCCAATCATGACTTCCACCACCATCTTAAAACCTAGAACCCAACTCCTATGGATTAGTAATAAGTGTGCCACCCAATTCTCTCTCACCTATATTTGTAACCAGGACAATTTCCAATCAAAGTGAAATTAGGAAATAGAAGGGGGGGAGGAGGAGAATATTGAATACCTGAAACCCAAAAACTGAGGCAATCCAATCAAGTATATCATTCACTTTTTTAAGCCTCTCCATAGGCATTATAGAATCATCATTAGAAACATCAGGTCTTGCATGAATTACTGGAATTGGAAGATTATCCACCCTACATAAAGCATTAATTGCTGCTTTGATCTATAATTTTCAAGAAAAAAAAAAACAAGCAGATTAAAAATTTGAAATATCAGGGTGATTATATCATTAGCAGATGCAAAACAAACAATGCATATATCCACAGACCTCGGGAAGTTCCATGATTGCTGGTTTAACACCAACAGCATATAGTGGAAGGATGTTATAGTGTTCATATTGCCCCCTCTTCCTATCAACATCCTCGGCATATCTTTTTGTCTGGCAATGAAACAACATCCTTAGTCCGTGTATGTTTAGAAGTATTTTACAAATTTTAGTCATGGTAGCCTAATCAAGCAAAACAAACCTTATCCTCAATACTTTGAGGAGCTACCATAGTCTTCAGCACCTCATACAATACAGCAGCAATCTGAACATTCTTAGCCATCTCCTCCCTTCAAGAGAAACACGAGAAGAATAAGACATCATAACACAATTCGCAAAACTTGCAAGCACAAGTTTAAGATCAAGCCTCACGGTTTCTGGGAAAATTCTCCATCACGGATTTTCTTTTCATAGAATTGTTGGTAATAGTTCTGCAGCTCCCTGGCATCACTTCTTTTACCAAGTTTTTCAGTAAGCTCCCCTTCCTGCAACCCGGAAATTTTAAATATATTTAAACATCAACTACTATAATCTCAATTTTGGGTAGTAATTAAGAAGTGTCTGCTACTCTTATTTGTAAATGATCAATAACATAATCACTGTCTAATGTTAATATTTTCCTGATAAACAGAAGACTTTTATTAAAATGAAAAAGAGAAAATCCTATCAGACTGATATTAATATTTAAATAAGAATCAACAGGACACCCAACATTACCAGCTCATACACGCCAATGAGAAGTTACAAAACAGCACCTTCATAAAATAAAATTAACCAGTGTACCTTTTCGAGTTTGTGCAATAGGTAAGTCTTAAACTGGCGAACACCACGCCCACTGGATGTTGGATCCATTGTATGGGCTTTCTCAAATGCATGGAAGCGACCTAATCAAACAAACAAATAAACATCAGTATGATTGTACTCTTCTGGAAATATAAGGTAAAAACATCTTTGACTTGATGAACGAATGCTTCCATTCTATTTTGTTGTTTCATTTCCCTTTTCTAGATGTTGACTTTGAATGTGTTTGCTGTGAGAGTAACAATTCTGCAAGTAGAATCTGGCTTCAATATGATACTTTTCAACAAAGGCTTGTTTTGGACATATTTTTTCTAATAAATATTTTGTTATATCCATTTTCTTCTGAGTTATATACGGATTATGTTAAACATGCCAAATTTAGGTTCACTGAAACTGCCCTTAGAAAAAAGGACTTTTAGTGAGTAGTTGGAAGTTCATTTCTCTCATGGAGATTAGATAGATATGGGCGAGTTTCGGCTAAATCAGAGACTGAAGTCTATCTATGATAAACCACATGTTGGTTTTTTGAGGAATGAAGAGGAACCCACTGGAGTAGAATCAGTAGTGAAACAAGTTCAGACAAGTGACAACTATAATCACCATCTTTAATAAACAAAAAATTTTACAGCATATAAAAGCTAGATGCAATTTGAAGTAAACATGTATGAAGAATTTTAACAAAGTACTTATCTATTCAAAAAAAACAGTAGAAAAAGAAAGAAAGGATGCCAGTGTAGCAGAAAATCTATCAGTACATTTATAGGAAATATTTCTCTAATCAATAATAACAAAAACCAGAAATGGTGATAGTAACAAAAATCATATATAGACAACTTTAATTTGTCTTCATAAAGTAAGCTGAACTAGACACTGCTGAGAAATTTGAAAGAAAGCTCCCAGCACCTATTATTACTCTCACACTAATGTTCTTTTACAGGATTCTATATGCATTAAAATAACTCAAAACCCTTACACAAAATTCTATTAAATGTGGCCAAATTGTAAAAAGGATAAACAATAGTATGTGCTTGACAGGTCTGCAGTCATGAGGATAACAGAGGTGGTGAAATACAATGCTAAAATATAAGCATAGCATCCACTGCAAGGTTTTCAGTGAGTCACTCAATACAGATGAATACAATTTTAACTTAATAATTATTATTATTTAATTGAAATTCAATATTCTTATACATCCATTACATGAATATTTGAGGTGCCAACAGCTTTCTTTCTTTTGTCTACTACATACTTACTTTTTTATGAATAATTATTTGGCCATTTTGATTGTTTCTTCAATTCCTTTTCCCTGTAACTTGGGGGGATTCTTTGCCTGATCACCTATTAGAGACATTATATCTCATGCACAGTAAAGTCAGGCTACACATCTTTTCATTTTGAAAACATGTGGACTCTCCACCACTGTTGCATAACCTTTATAATATAAATTTCTGAAAACTTCAGTAGTGGTAACTGGTTTGCAGCGGACTCATACTTGTTTGGATATTCTCTGTTTCAAAAGATTTCCAACCACTTGGTTGTTTGGAAGGGTACTTTTTCTTTTCTTTATTGATGATCATATTAACTTGACTTAGACTTTTTATCAAGTGTTCCTTTTTGTTACAGAACTCTGTTTCAAAGTCCAATAGCCATCCAAAACTCACAGCAAAAAAAAAATTATTTCATTTGGACTGTGGTAATCTACAAGATAAGCACCAAAGATCTGATGGAAATTCATTATAGAGATGAGGTTTAGGTCTGATGCAGTCACCCACTTATTTTCATGTTTCCCGGCAGCCAATTCCTAATGATGATTATTTAATGTGTGAGGTGAGTGCTGGATATGGCCTCTCAATTTAAACCAGTTAATTTAAAATTAACTTTAAGGGCATTGGAAGAAATAACACAGTTCTCTTCTAAGCAGGATATCTTATCCACCTCTTTTTCTATTCTCTTTTTTACTCCCCCCTCAGTCCCTCACAATATTTCTACTTTTATCTCCTCCCCTCTCCAGAAAAAGCTATAATCATGCAATATCATGAGATACAAATCTTATATTATAAATGTCTTCTCTTTGGCTGTTAGTTTTGGCAATTTGCAACTCTTAATTACGTATCCCAGCCTTAACTTTTGTACTCATATTCCATAATAAAAATTATTCTAATATTCTTTCATTAAAAAAAAAAAAAAAAAAAAAAAAAAAAAAAAGGCATGTTGCACAAAACATCCATCATATAACACTAGATAAATATCCTTTAATACTTCCATACATATAACACCAGGAAAAAAAAAAAAAAAAAAAAAAGGCATGTTGCACAAAACATCCATCATATAACACTAGATAAATATCCTTTAATACTTCCATACATATAACACCAGGAAAAAAAAAAAAAAAAAAAAAAGTTACGCTTTAATGCTTCCATACATATAAAACCAGAAACCATTTCTGGTGAACATACCCCACTACTTAACAACTACTTACAAGACAACACTTCCCACTATTTTGAAATGATCAAGCAGAAATTGAAGGGGGGAAAAAAATCAAACCCAATGAATAATTAATTACTCACAAAGATAGGCTACTCGGGGATTTTCCTCCTCAATCTCAAGGGCTGCTCTGAGAATAGGCACAAGCACAGCAAGAGAAGAAGGCACCATCTCACTGTCCACCACACTCTCCTCATTTGCCAAGTCCACACTCCGAGTAGGAGCCCTTAACATCCTCTTTGATTGGCTCCTACCAACTTCAAGAGGACCCTTTGTGCCACTGGTGCTGGCCATGGTCCTGCCACCACCACCACAACCAATGCAACAAGGTTTAAGCTTTCTTCCCCAATTTTCTTCTTCTCCTTCACCACCCAGAAAGCACCACAGGTATTGGAGTTTGAGTGAAGAGTGGGGGAAGCTAAAGTTGCCATCTTTTTGTACTGGGGTAGAAGAAGGAACCAAAAAGATTGATACTTTGATTGAGAGAGAGGTTTTGGAATTGCTCTGGTAGCAAGGGAAAAGGAGGGGGAAAATAAAAAAATAAATAAAAGAAATAAAAAGAAGGGAACAGAGGGTGGTGCAGCTGCTGCTTCTTTTTTGCTGAGTGCTTTTTCTTTTGGGATAAACAAAGCATCAAACAAGTGGTAAGAAATCACACTTCAGTACTTCACTCACACATCGGATTGCATTTGTTTTACTTTTTTTTTTTGTTTCGTTTGTTGTTTTGTGAGAAAAGTGGGTCTTTGAAACTGTGAACTGACGAGTTGTTAATCCTTAAATGCCAAGGAAGCTAAGCTTAGGACATTGGAGTTTGGAGTTGCCATCAATCATTGTGTTCTCAAAAGAGTCTACGGAAAACATGCAACAAAAAGAAAAAGGAGGTTGTGAAAGGAAAGTATATAGTGTGTGCTCTGTTCCCTAATAATCCTACGGTAATCAGCATGATCCTTTCGTTTGTACTAAATTAAGCGGTTTTTCACAAACATGGATGACAAATAATGTTATAATTATGAAAAATATCTAATTTGATCAAATTTTATTTTATAAAGAATTTTATTAGATACAAATATGAGTACAGTAATAATTGATTTATTAAATCCGACACAAGATATTTATATAATAACTTGTTTCATGTTTCTATTCCTATTTTATTCCTTATTTAAATTTATAAGATATTTAAAGAATTTATATAATTTTTATTCTATTTTAATTTTATAATTATTACTATATATTGATATTTGTATTTTTTTATTTTTTCAAAAATAATTAATTAACTTTTTTAAGAGATAGATATAATCGATAGTCAATAGAGATAACTATAGAATACAAATTTTAAATCCATCGAATAGCATGAACGAGAATATTATACAATCCAGAATTAGAGGAAAGAACAAGGATAGAAAAATTGAAACTTGTGCTGTATTTCATTGCATCCTTATTAATTCTTAATGGGATTGTTTTATTTTGCAATTTTTTTAATATGAAAAATAGTCTTTCTGATAATGTATATTTTTTTTTAATTTTTATTTAATTAAAATTTATTATTATATAATTTTTAAGATAATTAAATTTTTAATCATCTAATATTATAATTGTACAATTTCAGTCTCTAAGTAAACAATTTTAGTCCCTTAAATTTCGCAATTATATAATTTTAGTCTTCTAAATTTTAATTAAATAATTTTAGTCTTTTAAGTATCACAATTATACAATCTTAGTCCTCAAGTATCACAATTATATTATCTTAACCTATTTAAGTTACATCTATTATAATTTTTATTGATATATTAAATTATATATATTTATTATTATTATTAAAATAACTAATATATGTAACTTAAATAAGTAAAAATTTGTATAATTGTGATACTTTAGATACTAAAATGACACAATTGTAGTACTTTAGGGACAAATTGTTTAATTAAAAATTAAAACACTAAAATTACATAATTATGATACTTGATGAATTAAAATTACTCGATAAAAATTTGAGGGTTTAATATTGCACATCAAGTATACTTGAAGGAAAAAAATGCATTTAAGTCTATTATTATAAAAGTCAATACACTTATACTATTAACTAACTAGAATTCATCTTTATTATGACTTTTATAGTAATTGTTATAAAAGTCATCATAATCATTATGTATAATGATTTGTAATTGAATAACGATGTAAAAATCCTTATACTACTAATACGTATATTATTTATTTTAATTTTAAAATGATTAAAGTTCACATTGTCTCATTTATTTCAAGTTAATAACAAGTAAAGTTAATTACACTTGAGCCTTCAAATTTCATAATTATGTGATTTTGACGGTTAAAGTTCAAATTGCACAAATTGAATTAACAATTATGTGATTTATGTTTCTTTTTATCAATATTTGATCAAATACTTAACGATTTTTGTTGATGTGGTAGATTTTATAGATGTAACAATTAGATGATGACATGACAATTCAGGTGTTGTTTAACACATGTTCACATGACTTAATTTCATTTTTATTTCTTCACACAATTGCATTACGAAAGATAACAAATCTCACTTAACTCCAAAACCTTAAGCCTTCAAAACACTATTGATATATCCTTACCTTATGATTTAATCTTTGTAAAACTTCTTAACTTTGAGAAAGCTCGAAGAGACTTGGAGACAAAAAAATATACTTGGTATTGTGTAATCTCATTTAGAGATTGTTGATATTGTAGCCTAGAGAAGTAGTAAGAATATTTGCGTTTTAATTTTTTGTGGTTAGTAAATTTCTTCAAGGATTGTGTTGTAATACAAAGGATTTGGGATGTTCGACTCACAAATACTTCCTTCTTTGAAATATTGATTTGGAGCCTCATTCATTCACTCGACACTTGTGACATCCCATTTTTCTAAAATAAAATAATATAATTAAATAATGTATAGTTTATTATATTAGTTAATTAATTTTATTTAATTGGGCTTATATAAAATAAAGTAAGGTTGGTTTAAATAAAATAAGAGTATTTTTTATAAAGATAATAAAATGTATTAGGTTGGTTGAGTTGTCATAGTTTGAAGTTATGTTTGGGTTTGAATTTTTAAGCCTAAATCAAAACTTAGTTTTTTAAGAGACTAAGTGAGGGGTAAGATTCTTTACACTTCAAAACTTGTGTGTTCTTGCTTCCTAACTCGAGAGGAACCGTAAAGATGACCTTACCTGAAGAACTTAAAGAGCTGATTTTGGAATCCTAAGATCACACCTCGTAGATTCAAAGATCGCCATCTAAGATAAGAGGGGGAGTGAGAATTATCCCATGTATGAGCATGTATAAAGAATGTAGTTAGTGAGACAACCCCTAAATTTCTTTGATTTTCTTATGCATACCATTGGAGGGATTTTAAACACCTCAAAGTGAGCGTTGGCAATAAGATTTGTTTGTTGTCGATGTTTATTGATTGAATTGTTGAATTGATATGAATGAATTAAGTTTTTGTCCTTGCAAAATGTGTTTAGGGTTCTTAAGTACCTGAATTTGCATTTTGTGTAATTTCTTGTTGTGCTTGAGTTTTGTGAATCAAATTGCTTATTATGTGTTAATTGGAGATAAAATTTGTACATTGAGTCCTTCATATTGATTTGATAAACTTTATGACATGTGGAATGGTTTGGGGCGGGGGGGGGGGGTTGGAAACCCATAAAGCATAGAATTTTGTAATTTGGACAATCATGGTTCACTTAAGTGAGTTTGAGACGAAGAGTCTCTGGTAGGAGCTCACTTAAGAGAAATTAACTCGCTTAAGTGAAATGAACATATCACTATAGTGAGATAATGCCTCACTTAAGTGACTAGATGATTGAATTAGGTTTTGAAGTCACATAAGAATTATAGTATTGGATATGTTAGTTAACCAATGGCTTTTAAATCACTCAAAATGGTGTTGTGAACTCAAGATATGATTAAATTAATTAGCAAAAGCCAGCTACTAAAATTAGGCTTAAAGGTTGCAATTTTTGTAATTTTAGGTACAATAGATGATAAAACCAAAATTTGAGGATAATATAAAAGTTGTAGATAATATTTTTAGATTTTCAAAGATATAAAGATCAACTTAAAATCATAAGTATAATTAAAGATGTAGTGTTTACATCTCACGTAGTTCATAGTAGTATTAGAGAAAATTATAGTATAAATAATGAGTAGGAGTTGAAAGTTTGAATATCTACATGCTATCATTTTGTTATGAGTGTTCCAATCTTAGAAATGGAGTGAGCCATTATCGAGGTTTAATAAAAAAAAATAGTTATAGAAGAATCTATAAGAGTTTAGGGCGTAAAATACAAGTGACAATTGAGAGGGCTAAAAGTTATATGAACAAGATCTTGTGCTTAAGTTGTTGTATATGTGAGTTATGCATGTTTTGAAATCTAAGTTATGCTTAATAGGGAGAAATTTTAGTCTAGGGCTTAGTCCTTTTAGAAGTCTAGATGTAGTATCATGGTTTTCTTAATTATGTACATTTAATAAGTATGTAATTAAGATTTCACCAAACTCTTTTGGTGTAATTTCTCCTTAAATATCATGTTAGCAACACATAATTTGACATACTCTTTTAAACACTCTCTGATTGGTCAAAATTTATTGAAAAATATAAAATTAGATGTATCTTACATTCTATTTAATAACTTGTTTTTTATTTTGTAATTTTAAATAAATTTTAACTAATAAAATTAGGCATGTTAACAGATAACATGTTGTTCTCACTCCTCGATAAAATATTATTAGGTGATTAATTATTTTTGTTGAATGTCTATTTTATTAATTATTAGAGTTAATTTAGTAGTTGA